GAGGCATGGAACATATGTACCAAATATGCCAAAGATGTCTACAAAATTATCTCAGTTATTATTAAAAAACTGATTATTTTTGAAAACTTTGCCACCCTGTATCTCAAAAGTTAAGGCGTTTAGGACATACGTCCAAAGGACGTTTTTTCCTTAAAATGGGTCTAAGAATTACCTCCTTAAATATTAGCATGTGTTTAAGGAACACCCTGTATACACTTTGTTTTATTTAAATTTAATGATAGGAAGTGCTTATAGTACAGGAAACAAGATTGTTGAGAAGGGATGTCGTGAAAATGTAAAGTAAAACGCAATGAGGATGCAGTGTTATCCAGAGATTTAGAAGAAAACTAAAGCTTAATACAGTATACTGTAAGATTTTCACTATGAAAATCTTGATGAAACCCAAAAGTGTGTGATTTCACGAATTTCATGAATATGTTTCTGAAGATTTCCAATTTTTGAGGTATGCACCTTTTCATACCCTAACTGGAATGATGTTGAAGACTTTTACGTCTCAGATGGCACAATTGTCTCCATCAAAGGCAAAGGCAAAAAGCTATGCCGCAGGGATGTTATTTGGACTACTAGACTGAAATCCACGTGTGCTTGTTCTCAAAGATATGATTACCGCGTCCAGTAGCTTGAAGATCACCATCAGTTTGGGTCATACAAATAATCCTGCGGGATTCGGAGACAATGTTGACTATTTTGAATCTCTTCCAGTAGATCCGAACGTTTCAGTCCACTTTTTTAGACGTTTTTTCGCGCACACCCGTTACATGAAGGGAAGTGCCAAAGAAAACGTCGAGAAACTCGTGAATCGATACCGTAATCCCTGATAGCGTAGCACAATAAACATTACTGGATATAATTGGCACCTACCTGGCATTTCCATCGCTGTATAAAAAGCCGACCGCCCCCAGACACGCACCTCCCGACCGCTCCTCACGCCGCCCCTTCGATCCGAAGGCAGGTCATCCCCAAAAAGGTCAATTTCTCACTCGAGCAAAGAAAAAATAAAGAGAGAAAGAGAGAGAGACACGCACAATTTCCAATGCAATAGATATTGTTTGCAGCCTATCTAATTGTGTTGTTAACCAGGAAAAAATGTTTCGCCGAACTTCAACTTGCCGAAATTTCGGAGAGGGGGGCCAAGTGAAGCGGGGGACGCGGGGCCCGGGGGAGAATCGACATTCGCATGGGATTATTACGTAAGTCCAGCGCGGTGCACGTCCGCGAACAGCATATCAACTCTACAAGGTTATGCAAAGGCGGCGTTGCCTACTCCGGGTTCTAATGCCATAGATAAAAGTGCGTGCTGCGGTTGCCTGCCTGCCTGCCGCGGATGAGCGCCATGGACGTGCGGGGGGGTCAACAATTCTCTAGTTGGGCTCGGCCTGCGCCGAAATATCTCGGGAAAAACTTGGAGAAATCTCGAGCGGTTCAGGTTTTACAAGGATAGCTTCAGAAGTTCCCTACGTATCGGAGGAAACGGAAATAAGTCGAAGACGTGATAGGATAACTTGCAATTTTCTCGTTTTTGGAAGTGATTTCCAGGGTAAGACCAATGGTTTGATTGTTGATAATTTAGAGTTGGAGCCATTCCATTGCTGTTGCCACACGTTAGTAAGAATTTGTTTGTAAAACGGTTTCAGGTCTGGGTGGGCAATTCTTTTTTCAATATCTGTGAGTGGGTTAGTGGGAAATATTTCGTTTTCTCTAATTTTTTAATGCAGCAGTAGTAGCTTTTCTTTTCAATCACTTTTTCATCAAAGCTCCTACTGATACATCTAAACCTTAATCCAAAAACTATAGAAAAAATGTAAAACGTATGAGATATATATAAAAAAAAAACGTAAATGTATAAAGCATATAAAGTATGAAGTAAAAAATTTAAAAATTCATATAATGTAAAATGTATAGAATGTCAAATGAATGAAATATAAATAAATGTATGAATTTATAATGTAGCAATAAGTATATTCAATTACTGTGATTATCCATGAATCAAGTTTTCAAGTTCAATCAAGTATTGCATGAACAAAAAAAAATATTACAATGTTTTTACAAAATGGGGTTAGATTTGCTCTCTAAGTAAAACATACCTAGGTATAATTGCCTGTGTGTGTGTGTGTTTTATCCAAGGCTTCTCCAAAACAAAACTATTAGTATTGTACATAAAATTATCTTAAAAATTTTGGCCGGCAAAGATTTACAAGATAAAAAAAAGGAAGGTAATTAACTCTTATGTAAAGCATAACTTCAAAACACCAGTATATTTAATGTGTGCACGTATTAGGAATCACACGTTGAAAGGTAAGACCTCGTTAGTCCTTGGCTCGCACAAGTTTCTCAACTTCTGAGAGTTGTCGTTCGTATGGGGGCGGCAGCTGATTAACGGAAAAACAGATTTTAAACAGATTTGTACAAAAATTCTGAAAGACATTCAACGATTTGTAGAGGACAGGGATAGCAAGAAAAGGTGGGTTTATTCACTATCGTTGTATTTTATAGAAAGTTTCCTTGTTTTTCAGGATATACTTCTTTATTTCAGTTTTAAAATTTCGTACTATGTCATTTTTTTTAAATATACTGGTATTTCATTAGTTCTTTGGGGTATAGCTTTTCTAAATGTATGTATTGCTAATTCTTCATTACTAGTTTGTCTGGATGGTTGGACAGATCTGCTTCAAAGTGAGTATTTAGTTGTGTAAACTCGAATTATACATTGATGAACATACAAAAGACTGATTGGTAGGATTTTTGTTTCTTCATATACTAAATTTGTGGAATACTGTTTCTTTTTTCTAAATATGATTTTTATGATGGAATTTTGTATGATATGTAGAGGACGTAAGTTGTTAACGAAGGCTCCTCCCCATATTAAAATACTGTATCTTAGAATGAATTCTACTAGGGAAATATAAAGCATTAGTAGGTTTTTGCGTGAGAGGATATCTCATAAAGTGTAAAATCTGTGCAGTAATTCTCTCAGTCGTTTATTTAAATTCGAGATGTGCTCGGTCCAGCGAATGTGCTGATCCAGAGTCACTCCTAGGTATTTCATTGATGATACTCGATCTATTTCTGGGCAGGTACATGTATTTGTATCCGTGCAAGTTGTTTTGTGAAGGTTTATAGAATAATCTGTAGTGGGTTGTGTATTAACCGTAGGTGTAAAAGGTATGAATTTAGTTTTAGAGACGTTTAGGGTGAGTAGGTTATGGTCCAGCCAAATTTGCAAATTTCTTAGATCTGCTTCAGCGGTTGATTTTATTTCTTCCCAGCTTGTTCCTGTGAATATCAGAACTGTGTCATCGGCGTAGCATATTATGTTGGACGACAAGTCTCGTATTTGAACTATATTATTCATATAAACAAAAAAAAAGAAGTGGCCCCAGAATAGTCCCTTGTGGTACACCCATTTTGACAGTCAATTCTGAGCTTACTTCTCTTCCAATCTTTAATTTTTGTATTCTGTATTTCAAGTAGTTTAGCATCAGGTCCAATGCGGTACCTCGAATTTCATAGTATTCTAATTTTTTTAAAAGGATATTATGTGAGATCGTATCAAAGGCCTTAGCAAGGTCAAGGAAAATAGCCAGACATTTTGATGATTCGCACTGTTTTTTCGAGGAAATCAGCTATGGCATTTTTAGTACTAGATTGTTTAATGAAACCGTACTTCCTGTCAGTTATAATTTTGTGCATGTTGAAAAAAATCAAGCAGCCTGTTTTTCAATAAGCGTGTTCAAATATTTTGGCAAAATTGTTGATGACAATTGCCGATTTTCAGCGATCAACTGAATAAATTCTTGGAAGTTGTAAATACAGTTATTAGATAAGATACATTTTAATTAGTATCTGAATATTTTTGCATGAAAATCTCGAAAGTGAGGTAGTAAGTTGTTATAGAGTACCGTATCAATTTTGGTGTTTTTTTGAATCCTTCTTTTTGGTTTACCTTTTCTGGTTTTATGCCTTGTATTATATTCATGTATATCTTCATAAGTTTCATAGCATTCAATATTATTTTTAATATATAATAGTTTGTGGTATATAATAATAATTGAAGAATGTAAACTTTCATGGCCGGACAGCTACTTTCCGGGTTTTTTGGCAGGTTTTTCAAACGTTTAGTCAAGTAGTTAGATTTTTTTTCTCTAACCACTAGCCACAACAAAGAAGAGGAGGAATTGAAACGTTGGTTCAGAGAGTACGACGTTTTTGTGAACCGGATAATCTTCCTGAGGATCTCAATCACCTGAAAAATGCATTCAAACAAAATGGATATAACGAAGGTGAATTCAAGCTGACCATATGACCCAAGAGAGTAAACGCCAAAGTAACCCCAGCTCGCGTTCTTTCAATAAACACTTCCTATCTTCAAATTCAAATAAAACAAAGTGAATACTCCGAAACTTCCAATTTTCCATGACTCAGCGCATAAATCAGGCTGAATTTGACCGATGGCATAGTTTATGTTGATTTTGAGGACCGCTATGGTGTGTGTCTATTCCCATACACCTGCGACTTGAGAAAACCCCACAAGAAAAAGTCCAACGGGATCAAATCGAATGCTCTCGGCGACCACATCACTTCCACTTGAGATGACCATGCCCAAAAATCGCTCCTGCAGAATATCCAAAATGTGGCATGAGCTGTGTGGCACGAATCACTTGTTAGTGTAAAGATCATCCAATTCAGTTCAAAAGAAGTTGGTAATCATCGACCTATAGTGCTCGCCGTTGACAGTGATGGCCTGGCCAATGTTGTTATAAAAGGAATTTGGACCCGAAGTCGCCGCCAGCAAAAATCCACATCAAACAGTAACTTTTTTGGGATGCATTGGACGCTCTTGGATCTCATGTGGAGCGAGATCGACTGCTTTGTATTGTTCTGCACACTCTCAGAGACAGTGGCCATGTGAATAGTCATCTCGGTAGGACGATTATGGCGACCATAAAGTGTTCATGGTGATTTGTCGAAACATAGTGAATAAATGACAAATAACTTTGGCAATGCTTGTGTTATTGAACGCACTGTTTGCCGTTGGTTTGCGAAGTTTTATTCCGGAGATTTTAGCCCCAAACTTCAAGTGGTCCCAGAGTCCTAGCTCCTTCACCAAAATTCAGTTGAATTTTTGAAAATCATTTCTATTGTCTACCAAGTACCGAGAAATGTTTGAAAGGTTTCAATTTTTGGATAGTTTCATGTACCTACTCTTGTGTGTGAAATACTGATACTAAAATTTTTGAAGTGAGTAACTTTTGAATCTGAATACTCAACTTTGAATCTTGATACTTAACAAATAATTTGTTCTTTGAGTTTAAATTAGTTCAATCACTCTTTAACAGTTGAAATGAGAATTTAAGTATCTAAAATATTTTTTTTATTTATTACTCAGTCTTTCTACCTATTGTAATGAAACTTGGTTTGTTTATTATTAGTTCCAGAGGTGTCACGGCGGTACATTCACACACTATTATTATTATTAATATTAGATATTTCTGAAATGAAATTTGGCAACACCGTGTCATCAATGCAATAAAAATTGAGTTAACTCTAAAATAAATTTAGAAGTTTTTAGCAGTCATCGAGCAAAAACTGTCTGTTTATCGTTTATCACAAAATTAAGATGCTATTCTAGATACAATTTCGTTCTATTATTACATTGTTTTCAAGTTGTAAGAGTACACGTGCAATCAATTATCAATCTCGATGATAAACCGACCTTGCTTATTATGCTTATCAACACAATATTGGATTTTAAAAATTGTAAAGTGTGTCTTTAAATATTCTGGTAAACAATCTTGTCGTGAATATTTTGCATTGGTTGTTTTAACACCCGGGCAGAAAAGTACCGGGCCTAGGAGAGAAAACACATTTTTTTACGAATTTGTTTTACTCATCAACGTAATCTCCATCCCGACTAACATTTCAATACTAATTTTGTAGAACGATTCATCTTTGCCTCAAAATAGGCCTCAATTTCAGCAATAACATCTTCCTTCGAGCGAATTTTCTTACCGATGAGCATTTTTTTAGGTCTGCGAACCGCCAGTAGTCGCTGGGAGCCAAATCTGGCGGATACGGTGGATGTGGGAGCAATTCAAAGTTCACTTGATGTATTTCTGCCATTGGTTTGACAGACTTGTGGACGGTTTGGACGAGGGTAACCAGTTGCTATCCATTCAGATGACTTTGGTTTTGATTCCAGATTGAAGTGATGGATCCATGTTTCACCCATTGTTACATATCGACGCAAAAAAATCCGGTTTGTTATATTTAAACATGGCAAACACTGCTAAGAATCTTCAAGAGTTTCTTGTTTTTAGTCAACAGTGCTCAGTCAAATGCTCATGTAATATAAAGCCAACATGTTCTTTTGATGTCTCTACAATGTCAGCTAACTTACTTAAGTTCACTTTTCGATCATTCAAAACGATTTTGTGGATTTTTTATGTTTTCTGGTGT